ACTATGTAGGGTTGCTTGTGAACTATTACCCTACTTAACGGGTCACTTTAAAGTGTCTTAATAAGTGACAATCTAATAATATACTTTCAAATGTTTTATGACTTATTGTGACTCGATTATAGGAGACACTATTTAATAGTGTCCCACGCAATGTGAATCACATGTGTCCTATTACACCACTTATTGAGACACAAAAAAGTGTCTAAACTACTCATTTTTGTTGTAGTACATAAAACTGTGAGGAACTTGCAACTATTTATTTACTCCGGAAATCCCACTAAAGATGTGAATAACTTACATTTTTTTCAACCTTGTAAGAAAAAATTCCAACTAAAGGTGAGTTCTGAGTTCCAACTAAATATGTGAATATAGATGAGTTTTTTTTTTTTTTTCTCTTTTAACTTAGTATGGGTGTCCTCTCATTACAATGATCTCCAAAAAAGTACGTGAGTTTATTTGTTTTTTTTTTTTTGGGGGGGGGGGGGTTGCATTGTCCATTCAAATCCTAATATCCTGATAAAGAACAAATAAAATCCAACACTAATTACTAGTCAAAATTTCTAGTGCCTATTCAGCTATTCTCAACATTTCTCGTTTGATCTTTCAACCATCGAAAAATGAACGCGTAAAACTTATGTTTGAAACCGAGAAGGAAAGAAAATAATCTTTATATATAATCAGCTGCAACGTTGCAGGACTAACATGGGAAATGCTGATCATCGATCCACCTATTGGTTGCCTTTGAAACATCATTTAGGTATTCTTCTTGCTACAAATTTTATAAGACCTGCCATATTGCCAATACTTTTTTACTCATTCCGTGAACTCTTCAAGAATTGGAATTGAATTTACCCTCACAATATGGTGGATAGAAAGTTTACACATATAAATTATTGTATGCATGACTCTATAAAGGAGACACATAAAATCAGTCACTTGTAAATCAAGGGTTCAATTTATTTTCAAAGTGTCATAAATACACCTATATATTGACTTGACTTGTGATTTTGGTCAAACCCACAGGGCCAAACGTGAAGTATGTATGGAACAAGTCTCAGTTACTGAAAGAAAATTAGTACTAAAATGTAGGGCATCGATTCGTTTATCATTCCTATGTTAGGAATCAAAATGTATTTTTGACTAGAGACCTAGAGAACCTATTAAACAGTTTGATCATCTTAGTTAGTGTTCACTTTATTCCAAACTTTTTTTTTTTTTTCATATTGCAGGGTGTCTACTGTCGGTAACAGTGACTAATTTCCCTAGCTTATGGTAAGCACCTCGATAGGTAGGAAAATTGACTAAAAATTTTAAAATTATTCCATATCTATAACGAGATTCGAACCTCGAATATGAAGAAGGGTGGAGAAGTCCTTATTCCAAACTTCTCGCTTTGTAATGTCCACTTCAATTCAAAGGCCTCTAATCTGGAGAAAAGATATGCGTTATAGTTCCCTATCATTTTGGATGAGCCCAACCCCCTCACGATTTTGGCCCATTAAACAAATCAACTTGAAAATGAAATGATAGACCAAAAGGTTTCCTAAATAAGTCAGTCACATGTACTCGGCCTAATTTTTAGCCTTCTTAAAAGGTTATCCATGTGAGCCCATCATCTCCCTCCTATTTAGGATTTTTCTACTATCCTAAATGCGGTTATGGAAGCCATTGTGCTTTGTTCCAGTTTACCCCTCGGTTTGGGATTTCTTTGTGAAGGAATTTACTGACCTTACACCGATGCGGAAATTACCAAACGATCTTTGTCCTTCTCGATGCATTGAACCCGCGGTGATTGAACCTATGAGAGATCCAACTTTGTTTCCACCAATCAAGTGTCTCTGCCAATCAATCGATAAGAACCCTACTCTCTGTATATTTGTAACTGTGTGTATTCACTCATGTCTCTGTATTAGTAGGTTGTATCGTATTTAACAAAGAAGAGAGAGAAATATAATTACAGAGAATCTCCATCCAAATAACTAAATAATATATGATAGGGAGGATTTGATTTTTGAGTTAGTAACAGACTTATTCTGTTTAACTAACTCTATCGGGTCAAACCTACTCAGGTCGGATCGTCATGGGCGGATCAACCCGGTTTATGAACCCGTTTTCCAACATCTCCCACTCGCAAATGACGAGGAGACTTTAGGAACAAATCCTTTGTTCTTTATCATGATGACATTCATACAGACAAATGATTGGTGCGACCGCTGAGTCTTCTAATATTCGGGAGCAATATACTAGAAACCAGCTAAGGCCAGCATAGAGACATCAACCCTTTTAAAATCTCAAAGAACCTACTCAGTTTGCCCTAGAATCATTTGGTCATGCCAGTATAAGTATCTTTAATCCTTCGCAGAGCATAGTTATACATTTTTTTTACTTGTGTAATACACTTATAATTATGTCACTCCAATAAAGCGCCATAACCCGTCGATGAATAAGTATAGTACATGGTTATAATCCAAATATTCTTCCTTTACCCTAATGTTAATCAATTTTCAAATTAATAGCTTTCCCAGTAATGTTCCATAAGGCCGAATCTCTCATGACCGTCAGCAACATACCAAAGTAGATTACATTAATCATCAACCTTTTAACATAGTCAAAAGTTTGGGTATATGATTTAAGACATATAATGTCTATAAGGACTCACACAGTGATGAAGCAAGGATCCATTCAGACACTTCCTTTATAGTCGCAAAGGAAGTAGGCAAACTTCAGCCCCAAAACTAATGATGGCCCCAATCATGTATCAACATCAATTAAAAAATTTGAACGAAGAATAAACCACTCTTACGATTAAGCACATTGAGAGGCAATCATCGCACACACGACCACATTCAAAAACAACGAGAGAGCAATAACCTGCTCTGATACCAATGAAGGAATTTACTGACCTTACACCGATGCGGAAATTACCAAACGATCTTTGTCCTTCTTGATGCTTTGAACCCGTGGTGATTGAACCTACGAGAGATCCAACCTTGTTTCCACCAATCAAGTGTCTCTGCCAATCAATCGATAAGAACCCTACTCTCTGTATATTGGTAACTGTGTGTATTCACTCATGTCTTTGTATTGGTAGGTTGTACTGTATTTAACAAAGAGGAGAGAGAAATATAGTTACAGAGAATCTCATCCAGATAACTAAATAATATCTGACAGGGAGGATTTGATTTTTGAGTTAGTAACAGACTTCTGTATAACTAACTCTATCGGGTCAAACCTACTCAGGTCGGATCGTCATGGGCGGATCAATACGGTTTATAAACCTGTTTTCCAACACTTTGGATTCGAGTTGTGAGAACATTTTGTTGGGAATTAATCTGGGAGAGAAAACCCGATATGAAACCAATAAGTAAAATAAGACCCATTTGAACTAAAAAACTCAAGTTAATGAGTCTTGAGTTAATCTTACTTATTAACTGATTCACATGTTCTTATGCCTCTGATGTGGGATTCACAACTCTTGCCACATGACCCTCAACATTCTCCCCCGTCATGGGCAATCTCCACATCGGGCTTCTAAATTATCTTAACAAACTCAAATTTGTACTCCACCTGAGCAATTGGATCACTCATCCATACGCTTCCGCTCGTAATAGGCCTTTGACTGCATGGGTTCAGTTAGATCAATCGAGATAATTTAGACTAAATTACCCAACTGGCTCAACCTGGGCTCTGATACCACTGTTGGGGATTAATCCGTGAGAGAAAACCCGACATGAAATCCAATAAGTAAGATAAGACTCATCTGTACTCAAAAGCTCAAGCTAATGAGTCCGGAGTTAATCTTATTTATTAACTAATACACATGTCCTTATTCCTCCGATGTGGGATTTACAACCCTTGTCACATGACCTTCAACATATTTTGGCTCAAGAATTTACTATTTTAGCCTAATAATGTCGAATGTACTATTGTTGCATATAAATTGCAGCTAGTTTTTCGTCGATCGCAATTGGATGTTGTCTAAATACGTATTCCACTGTTTCGAAATGAATTTTCAGTTTTGATTTCCGTCTTAATTCAAATATTTTAGCAAGTTTTATGTCGATCGCAGTTAGACATTATTTAAATATATATTTTCCCGTCCCGAAATAATTATCTAAATTTTTTTACTTTTAGTTTAAATTATATTAAAATGAAAATTAAAACTGGATAATAAAGATAGAGGGAGTGTCAATTAAATCTCTTTTACTACTAATTGTACTGAAAATGAAAATAAAAACTGGACAATGGAGACAGAGGGAGTGTTAATTAAATCTCTTTTACCTAGAAAAGAAAAAATAACTAACGATACACCTATAAGTGACTAATGAATTTTCTTAGCTTTGTCGTTACAAATGGTTTCTCGAAATTTTAAAACAACATGCGCATTGTTCTAATCACGGCTTAATTGATTTCCGTACAGTAAAAGACTCGGACTGAGAACCTAAAGGTCCGATGGTAGTATACAAATTTGGGAGTAGTTTGAATGTTTTTTCCAAATGAAATGGAACTATAAATATTTAGTTCTGAGTGCCTAAAAGTATTTTGTCAAGTTAACACTACTTCCTCCCGTCTTTATTATAAAATATTTTGATTTGTCCTAGGTTTAATCTATTACACATTTTTAATCGATGAAAAAATCTTAAAAATATTTCATAACAATCAAGAGAACACAACGAATATGAAAATATATTTTTAAGGTTTTTTCGTCAATTAAAAACGTGTATTAGGTTAAATCTTAGAAAAGTCAAAATGCCTTAAGGACCGGAGGGAGTATGACATAAGTTGGCATATACATGAAGGATACTCATACATGAAATAGTGATTGAAATGCCTATTAAAAGGGTTTTATTTCTTGAGAAAAACTTATTTAACTCAAATTTCGGATTTCTTGCAGTGAGTAATAAATTAAAAGAAGAGATGTGTACCGACATGAAGAACCGTTCAATTTACTCAAGCAAAAGCATCAGCTAACAAGGGTGGTGTTTTGAAAGATAATTGAACAGCCAAAAAACATGTTATAGAGAATGTGAACTTAATTGATTCAAGTTTGCCCCAATCTTGTATGAGTTCATTGTAAAGATTGAAAAATAACAAGTAATAATCTACAATCCAATAGTTTTCCTGCTTGTACTACACAATTTAGCTATGTTTTTCTCATCTGTCTTCCTTCGGAGTTATAGCATGTATATGTCTTCACTTCAGGCACTGATGAGCTTTAACAGAGCTGGCTGTATCCTATTTGTAATTTCTACTTCCGTCAGGTTACACCCTCCATTGATCTGCATCAAAGGGCAAAACTAATATAAGTGCCTAATAAGAACATCACACGCTACCGAATGAGTTTATTCATTGTGTTTATCATTACTCTTTAAAGACACGGGGAAAACTAAAACCTCTTACCTCGGCTACTATGGAGACAGAAACCATGGCATCTCCAGAAGGGGTAATCTTTGTACGTGCAGGAGTTAAATCTAGCTTTATGATCTCACTTGCGATATCTTCTTCTCTAATTAATTCCATGGTTTCTTTCTTACACTCGAATTCTACCACCACATATCCTTTAGATGTTTGGAGTTTCCTTTTCTTCATAGATGGCTGATCATCTTCCGCATCCTCCTCCTCTTCCTCATGATCATTGTTATCATCAACATCTTCATCCCCATCATCTTCAACTTCATGGAAACGACTGGCAATCGCAGAGTTTTCTGTACTGTGAACAGATTCTGCATCCATTTCCCCTTTCAGCAACCTTAATTCTTCGGTTGTCTGTTTCACTCTTTCTTCAAGTTCTTTCAAACGATCAATAGCTCCCTCAATGACAGATGTCTTGTCATACTAAAATATTCATGACAACAAAATTTCAAACAGACATTATATCAATTTTACTCAAAACAACAATAACTTGGGTACGTAAAGGTCATATGGCGCTATCAAGCTAGCTCTATGAAGATACATATATCCTCCTATGTGAACATCTATTTCAACTTTTTCATTTCTACTATCCACAGTTTCTATCTGCTTCATACTTAGTAGACCGAATATTTGACCCTGTAAATTGCAAAACCTCAGTATATGCATATAGCTACTTAACTAGTATGCACAACTTTCTTTTCAATTTCAGCAAAAATTTATATTCACATCGTATGGAGACAATTCTCCATTTTTTCAACCTCAAACAGAAGAATCAGGGGGAATTGATTTTAAATATACGGATATAACTCGATTTCCGAAGTGTAGCTAATTAAATGAAAACAAACAAACAAACAAAGAAAAAGACACAAAATCAGCAGACCAGAGTTCATCTTGGTACCTTTTTGAGGCCAGGGAGTAATTGAGACAGAGCCCTGAATCGTTGGGAAAGCTTCTCTCGTCTCTTTCGTTCCAACATAACATGATATCTGGCTTGGTATGGAGTCCTAACAACTTTCTTCACAGTAACTGGGAAGTGTTGAAGTTCTTCCAAGTCCAAGGAAGATGAAGAACTACTGCTACTGCTCGAGGCAGATGCAGAGAACTGCATATTACTGTTCTTCTTGAAGCTAATCATTGCTGGGACAAGATCTTTCCTCTTTTCGGTACTTGCAACAAATCTCGTGTTCAATCTTATAAGGTTTGAACCAGATTTTCCGGCGTCGTTAGTCCTGAAGGTTGAAGATGAGCTTGATGAGCTCCCAAATGAAATCAACTGAGTTGTGGATGAATTGGAGGTAGGTTTAATTGCAAATAATGGAGCTTTAGGGGCCTTTGAAGAAATTTGGATATCTGCAGGATTGGAAATTGATGGGTAGTTTTTACTCCCAAGCTGCAATGTTGTATCCTAGTAGGAAGGAAAGAAAAAGTTAACACATTATACATTGCAGGGGGCATCATCTGATGAATCAATTGATGACATAATTAAATTCATACATAAAATTCGCTCCACAACAGGAGTTCTTATGTTGAATTACAAACAACAAAACAAACAAAACTCTTATTTCGGGACGGACGGACGAAAACGAAATATCTTACTGGCGGAGTGAATGATAAGCATCTTGCTCGAAAAGGATCCATAGCAGCTAATTAGACCTGCCAGGAAGAAGAGTTGACCTCCAGATTGATCATCTTCTTTGTAAGAAAATGGTAAATGGACGAAAAAGTTTCGTCAACAATATACTTACAAACTAGATCTAACATTTCTCTGCTGATAATTCAAATATGCATCAATGAACTAAGCAACAAGTTTGAGCAATGATCAATGAAACTCTTCTCAAAAACTTTAATTAATAGCACAATTTGTGTTCCAAACTTAAAAACATAACTTCAAAATGATACATTTGCACTAATTATTGAAGCATGAAAACAACTCACATATTTTTATAAATGGAGAAACGATTTCCGGAAATCTTGTCAAGAATTATAAGTTCGACCTTTGAATATAACGAATTAAGGCGCTGATAGCCGAAAGGATTCTTATAAGATGAAAAGATTTTGGTGCTTATATGATTAATCAATTAATTACTTACCTGGAGTTTAGCTTATGGAGAGAAGAACCCAGATCACAATTCTTCTGCTTCTTTGAATTTGTGAGTCTTTTGCAGCCACCTTCAAGAACCCAGATGGATCATGGAAGGAGGAGGGAGGAAATGCGACAGAAGCATTTAAATTAATCAAATTTTCAGTGAATTGAACTGTCATCTGTCAGGTGACGGTGATGACAAATGCTAAAATATGTAAAAGTTAGTGTGTCACACGAATAAAAATATTAAGTTTTCTTTATTCGAGGGAGTTCTTTTAATGGCAGGTTGAATTCATTAATTATTATTTTAGTGTATTTAATTATTATTTACATGGGTTGTAGTTGTAGGGAAATTTTGAAGTATCCATAAATCAGACTGCTTCAACTTTTTTGATTACCTGACATTATTTTCTCAATCAATATGTAAAACCCAAACACATTCCACTGCTTTCACAAAGTTCAAAAATATACTACTTCTTCCTAAGTGTCGTTTTAGCAAAATAAAAAAATTCTAAAATAAGTATCATTCTCACATTTCAATGCACTTTTTATCAAAATTTTCCAAAATTACCCTCAAAAGAGTTGATGCTATTGGTGGATGATTTTATTACCCTATTTAAGAGTTTTTTAAACTATGTGCAAAGTGTAAAACGACACTTATTTTGGAATAAAAGGAGTACAAAGTAAAGAAAGTGTATTAAACGTTGCATTTCGAGGATGCTAATAAGTCACCATAATCATAAGTTAATTATGTGAGCCTTTGAGCCGTTCCCCCATTTGTGTGTTGTAGGAAATAACAATGGATCGCATGCCCTTAATTAACATCATGTATTACTCCCTCTAATCTTTATTATAAGGCATTTTGATTTTTTCTAGGTTTCACTTAGTACATAGTTTTAATTGACAAAAAAATCTTAAAATTATTTTATAACAATCGAGAGAACACAATGAATGTGAAATATATTTTTAAGATTTTTTTATCAATAAAAAACGCATACTAGGTGAAGCCTAGGACAAATCAAAATACCTTATATTAAACAATGGATGGAGTATTTGGGAAGAGTAACTATAACATTGTCAACATCTCAACCCAATGGTTAAATCGAACATTCAAAACATTGGATCACAAAATCAATATGTACTCCTTAAAACATTTACAATAAGAAATTTTTAGAGTTCTTATTGGTCTTTTCACAAAATCAATTCATATTTTTAAGGTTTCATTTATAATGTAACTTAAAATTCGTCTTCATTTAAGTTAAACTTTAATTTGACTGGTTCGTACTCTTTCTATCCTACTCTATCAAAGTGGACTGTGTTTCTAAAATAGTGGGAGCATATTTTTGCTTAGCAAGTGAGGGAGTATTTTTAATATAGAGAATGTTTAATGAAAAAAGTAATTTAATTATTTTCATTAATTCTTAATAAAATTAATTATTTGTGCCAAACAGTAAATACAGGATGTACAGTAGATAAAAATAACAGTAGCGGTCGGATTGTTAAATGGACCATGCAAGTTAAGTTCTTACTCAGATTCCCATAGAATTAATCAGTTGCCCAAGATAGTATGGAATTAAATCCTCGATTCAAATTAAATAAAGTACTGAAACCCCGACGGTACTTCTTCTCGAAAGTCAAACTCCTCATGGTTCTTGTTTTTGCCGACTAATAATCTCTTCATCCCTTGACTTTATGCGTCCATGTGATTCTCCTGAATCGGATTAATTAAAAATGCCTTCTTTTATTTTTAATTACTACTACATATCAGTTTTTTTTCCTTATTTTTGGCGTTCGCATAAAAAAAACTGTTAGGTGACAAAATTTTTAGGCGTTGGTACGTTCTTGTTTTCGTGTACCAGACGATATTCCAAGATGCTAATTTAGTACAGCCTCTTTACAGAATAACAGAAATAAAGTACTCCCTCCATTTTATTTCGTTTTAGGGTTTACAAAATTTTCTAAAATATATGTCGTTTTACAAAAACAAAACAGTTTTTATCCTATTTTTCTAATATTATCCTTACATTAAAAATAAAATTGATATTTAAAGGAAATTGTATTGGTTAATGATGAGTTGCATGGATGATAAATAAGGATCATTTTACATTTTAAACACATAATTAAATATTTTATTGGTATTGATGAAATTGCTAGAAAAACATATATTTTAGAATGGAGAGAGTATTATTATCCTCTTCTTTTTTTTTCTTCTTTTAAATTTAGACAGTTCTCTAATAGAAATCAATTCGTTGTTTTGTTTATATTCCCTGCTATCATTATAGTCACAAAACGTAAAGTAAACTAATTTTATTGCTATTTTTTTAATAAAAAAAATTATATGGTCCCAGTGAGAATTGAACTCTTGACCTCCCAATAATAACTATTCCCATCTTGATCTCCTAACCATTCCACCCAACCCTTCTACCTTGCTAACACATTATGATTAGAAAAGGAATCAGGAATTAACTAACCAAACAAAACATAACTACAAAAGCACTCCAAAATCCCTTTAACCGAAGACGGTGGTAGTAAGATCAGTTTATAGAAGAAAAAAAATTTCATTTAGCTTAACGATGATATATTATTCAATTTCAAATCAAAAGATACACCTAAAATAATTTTTTAAAATTTGAATTTTTATTTTTAGTATCTTTTTTGGTGAAAAAGGTAAATATACACACATATATATATATATATATATATGCGTGTGTGTAGATATATCCAAAATCACCAAAAGTGAGAGTACATCTACACCATTTTGCCTCCCTCCTTACTGTTGCACAAAATTTCTAAGGTTATAACCTCAATCAAAAGCAGAATGCAACAAACTACCTATATCGCTTCTTTGCAAAACTCATCTAGATGACAAAACAGAATTTAAGGAAATAGATGGGAGAGGATTCTATTTTCTGTGCTTTTTTCTCTTTTTTCTCAGTTTGTGCAGAAATCTGTACTTCAGCTCCATCTTTATCACTTTCAAGATTTCTTCTGTCTTTCTTTCTTTGCTTTCAAACACCCTCAAGTTTCGTTCCTCCCATAGGTGCTAAATACTTGCACTTGTAGTGTAGGCAATGAAGATCAGGATGGTTCATCAAAGCAGCTTGATCATAAGCCACCTTGAAGGTAGTCTTCAGAAGTATAAAATTGTACAGCTGTATATCATAGGGACTTAGTTGTAAATATCATTATACTTGTATATAATCCGCCTGAAATACTTGTTAGTTAGCTGATGTGGCATGTTTGTTAGTATATACGTGATTAGCACGCTAATATAGCTGGACATACTGAGTATATATATATACTTGTACATACAGAGTTGAAGTTTTGAGAAAACATAATATACAATTCCAAAAGTAAAGTTGTTCTTAATCCCAAATTAGCAAACCCTAGATCTTGAACCATATCCTTTGATCCACAATCTCAAATTCAAGATGGTATCAGAGCAGGTTTAATCCTGCTCGGATAGCTATAGAATTATCACCAAGCTTCCGTTTCTAATTTTTCGGCCAAAAATTGACGGAAATTATGGCGACAACACCAGAAGATTAAGAAATCGAACGAAGAGGAGAAAATCGCAGCGAGAGTATGATGTTATCAACTTTGGTGGATATAGTCACCCACTCATACTACTTGTGTCTGATAATTCGACTTTAACTCCGATCAACATCCAGCTTACAGATTCCAATTATGTTGCTTGGAGTTACGCGATGCGTAGAGCTCTTGGTTCGCGAAACAAGTTAGAATTCATCACAGGGAGTTATGGCAGACCTAATCCTCGCAGTCCTGAATTTGAGCAGTGGGTAAGAGTCAATGATACAGTAGTAGCGTGGATTCTCAACTCAATTTCACCAGGACTTGTTGAAAATTATACTCTGGCAGAAGCGGCATCAGAACTTTGGGAAGAGTTGAAATACATGCATGAAACGAAGAACGGTCCCCAGATTTATCAGCTTTGAAGGGAGATCTGCACAATCGCTTAAGGAAACGAGCCAGTGGCGTCTTATTATTCAAAAATCAAAAGACTATGGGATGAGCTGAATGTACTGGATCTGGCAGAAGAATGTGAATGTGGTCTTTGTACTTGTCATCTCAAGATAGGTGGAGCTAGGGATGGTAAGAACAGACTTTATCAATTTCTGACTGGTTTAAATGATTGTTATTCTGCTGTTAGAAATCAAATTCTCCTGATGGAGCCAATGCCAGATGTGAAGAAAGCCTATTCTATGGTGTTGACAGTTGAAAAAAAGACTCAGGTCAGTGTGATTTACAGCAACGTGACAGATCAAAGTGCTATGAAGGTCTAGCAATTTGAAGGTACTTCTTTAGACTCAGCTATGCTTACACAGAGGTATAAGTTCAACAAAACAACTAGGAAAAATGATTTTAGGAGAGATAAGGCTGCAAAGAAACTTTTATTCTGTGATCATTGTAAGATGAATGGACATATTAAGGATTCATGTTTTCGGATCATTGGCTATCCCGAGTGGTGGAATGATAATCATAAAGAAGGTAAAAAGCCACAGCCATAGTTTCAAAGATCGAACAATCATTCTGCCAACTTTGTGGATGCTAAAGCAAAACAGCAAGCAATGAGTTCCAATGATGATAACACAGATAGTCAGACTATCATGAGTGCTTTGATGAAGCTACAACAGGATATGGGAAGGTTAATGAAAGGCAAGCAACCAATTGAGGGGAGTTTTGATCGGGTGAATTTTGATCATTACCACAACTTTGCAGGTATGAGCACTTTCACTGCCTTAAATTCCTTGAGTTTTGAAGAAAAATTGGTGTTGTTTACTAATTGGTTTTTAGACACAGGAGCTACTAGTCATATGAGTTATCTTTTGAACCTGTTTGCATCTTTTAATCCTGTTTCAGAATACACACCAGTTAGTTTACCAAATGGAAGTATGAAAAGTGTAGAACACATAGGCACAGTTAACCTTTCCAACCATTTGCAACTTACAGATTGTTTACATATTCCATCATTCAAATATAACTTGATTTAAATCAGTAAATTAGCCAGAACCTCTAAAATTGACTGTTTGTTCTCAACAAACTTCTGTTTGTTGCAGGACCAAATGACTAGAAAGCTTCTTGCTGTTAGAAAGGTTGTGAACAAGCTGTAAGTTTTGGACCACAAATCATTTTCACAAGAGACTATAATGAGTTTTATGCAAGTTCATGTGAATCATCCATTTGTTTTGTATCTCAATCCTAGGA